GGCCTCCTGGAAGAAACAAAAAAGACAGGAAGAGGAAGCAACAACAAAATTCCACAAGTCTCAATCCTGAAAACATTGACCTAGGAAGGGTAAATACAAAGGAGAATGGGAACAGCAAACATGCAATATCAGACACGGTACCAGTGGACATAAAGAAATATTTTTGGGACTTCATAGATGAGTGCAAAAGGAAATATTTAGCCATGTAAAGCAGGATATAAGAAGATTAATAAAAGAGATGCTAAGAATCCATCAAGCAGACAGAGATGGAAGAAGGGAGGAACTCAAACAAAGGAGAGAACCATTTGATGAAGAATATAAAAAACATAGAATACATGAAGCAGATTCAAAGAGATTACCAGGAAATTAAAAACTCTGTGGAAAGATGGCAAATCTGCTTGAAAGAAACTAAGGATAAATTATCCAAACTGGAGGACAGTTTTGCAATTTTGGATTATGAAAGGAAAATCTTTTTAAAAATAACAAGGAAACAAGCAGCAATAATACAAAGCTAGAAGATGACAAGAGGCTCTATAACTTGAGAATAAAGAATGTGAATGAAGAAGTAGGGGTACAAACAAAGGAACTACAAAGGCTTATTCGCAGAAATAACTAAGGAAAACTTCCCTAACATAGGAAAAGGAAATGATATTCTGATGTATGAGACATACAGAATTCCAGCCACCTACAACCAAAACAGAGCTACACCCAGGCATATAATAACCAAGATCCCAGAAATTCAATATAAGAATATGATATTAAAAGCTGTTAGAGACAAGACACAGAAAACCTATAAAAGAAGGCCCATCAGAATAATGGGAAACTTCTCAACACAAACCATCAAGTCAAGAAGAGACTGGAGCAAAATATTCCAAGCCCTGAAAGAAAATAACCTCCAACCCAGACTGATATACCCTGATATACTGTCTGTAGAAATTAATGGAGAAACAAGATGGTAGAAGATATTGTTAATAGTATATCAGAATTATATACCCACATTACTTGCACCACTCTTCTTAGATAGATGTTATTCTTTTTTTTTTTTTTTGATAGATTTTATTCTGTCCCAGTTTGTCTACTTGCATTAAATTTGAGGCACAGACAGCTATCCCCAAAACATCAGGATATAACACAGTAATCATCTTTAATTTCTATTATCTTAATCTGGCACCCTGTATGACTTATATTGTTTTATCATGACTGATATTAGTTAAATCTGATTGTTTGATTGCTGTTTTGTATTGACAGATTTTATTCAAAACTTATATGACTGATAGTATCAATTCTGAGTGTATAGGCAACTACACTGAAGATGACAAGACTCTAAGATACATATTCTGGTTTGATAACTGCCTGTTTTTGAAGTTTTATTCTATATACAAAGTTCTGTTTTTATAAATACTGTTATGTACTTATATATTTAATTATACTATGTCTGATGATATAGCCAATTCTATTGAAGAGAACAAGAGAAAACACAGGAACTATGGTAGAACTCCTTGTACAACGGTCTTATATGCCTTTTTTGTTTCATGTGTTTATAGGAATACGTTTTGTTTTTTCTTGCTTTGTTTTGTTTCTCCCTCTAATATAGAAAAGATAGAAATACATGTTAAGAGTCATGTATGTGTAGAACCTATAAACAGTTTATGAGAACTGGTCTTAAGACACATGATGTAAAGAAGAGATACTCTGAAGAACAAGAGACACTAAAATACCCAGTGCTGATCCTAGAGTGTCATAATGTGAAACTCAGCAATAGTATTATTCATTGTTCAGAGTGATATTAGTCTGCTTGTGTTTGTTTAATATGAACATAAATGAAGATATGGCTAACTGCATGTATGTTTAAGTGTATAGGATTAATAACCATATTTCTAAATTTTTGTTGGATAGTTCAACAGAACTGGTTGCAGTCTCACTGTTTGAATCCCCATTTTACATTCTCCACTTTAGTATCTTGAATAACTACTTGTAAAAGGACAATCTGTAATCAACAAGTAGTATTTCTTTATTTTTTTTTTCTTCTAAAGTATGTATAATTTCTACCTGTTTTCTGTTTTTGCTTAGTCTTTCTTTACACAAAATTTTTAAAAAAGGAAATATCAAGTGCGGATAAAGAAGAATTTCTATACATATCATTTATGAAATAGTGAAGGTTCTAAGAAGTTGCTTATAGTACATAGCTTTAGATTACCTGATCCATGCTTTATATTTAGAATTAAAACAAAAATAGATTGAAGAAGAAGAACCTATCCAACCATTAGTACAGTTATGAGAATGATTGTTTTAAATACATTAAACATCCTTGGATTATTTTCTCTAAAACTGATGCTTAAATATGAAATTCCTTCAGCACAATTAACAATTAGGTAAATTTTAATATCTTAGTTAAGTTAGTGTGTCTATAACAAAATACCTGAGGTTTGCTTATTTATAAATAACAGAAGATTAGTTCATGTAGTGAAATTCAAGAATATGACCGCAGAAGCAGTAAAGGTCTGTTAATAAAAATTTGAAGAGTAAGAAGAACAAGACTAGAATAGCAAGAAAGGATCTAATTTATTTTTATAATAAGCACACACTCTCAGTAACCAACTTACTTCCAAAATACCATCAAGATCTTTTATGACTAATCACTAAGATCCCAAACCCCAACATGATGCATTGGGGATTAATCTACCATCATGCAAACTCTGAGACACACTCAAACCATGACAACTGGCCCACTGCTCCCTATTCATGTCCTCCTTATCATGCAAATATAATCTTTTCATCTCAATCATTCCAAAAGTCTCAATTCATTCCAACATCAATTCAAATGCCAAAGCTCAGAATCTCATTTAAATCATAAATGGGTGAGACTCAAGGTAATACGCATCCTAAAGCAAAATCCCTTTGCACCTCTGCCACTCTGAAGTTAATAAGTTATACACCTAGAAAATATAACAATGGGACAGGTATTTCAGAAGGGAAGAATAGGCCAAAAGAAAGAGTAACTTTTCAAATATGTGAAATCTTGGGCAAGAAAAAACACTTTAAAATTTTAAGTTGAAAAATTATCACTCTTTTCTTACTCTGTGTAGTTTATCTTCTGCACATTGATGTGAAGATTGGACCCTAAATCGTCAGGTAGCTCGAACGTCTGTAACTCTGCCCTTCTAATAGCTCTAACAGATTGAAACCTTGTGCCCTCAGCTTGGGCTGACTACAGCCTTCTCACCTCCAGCTGAAGCATACTGCATGGGAAGGTGATATGCGGTACTTCGAGGTGCCTTGGGCAGCAAATTCTGAGGTCTTGTTTGCACTTCTCTGAAAACCTTGCTGGCCGGGCCTTGTTCTGGACTTGCGATGGAAGGAACACACTTAAGGGTCTCTGAGATGCTTTTGCATTCTTTCACTACTGTCGTCAAATATGCCTGATTCTTTTCTATCCATATCAATGTGTTTAGCAAATGGTGACTTGGCAATATATGTCATTCACTTGCTTGTTACTTTATACTTTTTTGTTTTCTTTTACTTTTGTGTTTTTTTTTTCTCTTTTTTTTCCTGAAATAAGGGGTTGAAACTCAGCTTTTGCATTGAGCTATATTCTGAGGCTTTTAAAATTAGTTTTTACATGGTCATGCTGCAAAATTTCTAAGTCTTTCAATTCAATATCCATTTTAAGTACAAACACTATCTTTAAAGGAATTCCCTGAACTCCTATTATTTTGTTATTTTCAAAGTAGTAAAAACGTATCTTCAATATTTTGCTCTGAGCAGAAACAGTTATTCTAGTTTATCATTCAGAAATTCAACTTTTCTTAAAGACCTTAGTCATGAGCATAATGTACCCATTTTTGTATGTTTATAACAAACATGAAATTTGCTGTACTCTCCTGTAAGATTTTTCTCATTTTTTACTGATATTTCATCAGAAAAACTTTACGGTTTGAATATCTAGCAATATTCTAATCATGATAACTAAAAGAATCTCTAAGACATTTCAAACATCCTTGTAGATATCTTATTCTTTTGAACCAGCCCTAGAATTTTCTTTAAATCTTAGCTTCCAAACGTTTTCTTTTATATTCTAAATTGTTCGACTCATCCAGTTTCAATAAACTTCAAGATTTCCAGTTGTTTTTTAGAGCAACAACTGTACTTCTCACACCAAAATCTGTATTACAGTTCCAACAGTTGATGAATCCATAAATTGTAGATGGGTAGGCTGGCAGACAGAGATACATTTATGAGGGGAACTTGCTCAAATTATTATGAGACTGAGAAGTTGCATGAGAGGACCTCTCCAGCTGAGAGGCCTTGGGATATCAGTAGCCTAACTCATTTTAAGTCCTAACCCCTCAGAACCAGATGATTATAAGCTTGATGCCAAAACCTGAAACCTCTGGTGGCCCACTGGTTCTCAGTTCTCCATAACTTTTCAGCTATAAAGCCCCAGAGATTGAAGAATTTGAAGTTCTTATATCCAAGAGTAAGAAGAGGGTTCCAATTCCAGGAATGAGAGTATAATGGTTGATACATTTTATCAACTTGAGAAAACTAGAATCTTAATTAAGTAACTTTAAAAATTCTACATCATAAGGCATAGAGGGGTGTCCCCTTACTGCTTTTGGATTGTTGATCATTATGTCAATTTGAGAAGTTTAGAAGTTTAATTATGTGACCAGCAGGAGGCCAGGATCCTCAGCTTGTAACCACCCTCAGCCTGTGCAAGAGGATGGCACAGAGACGAAGTGGTGGAAGGGACCCACTGGACAGGGCAGGTAGCTTGCAAACAGTAAAAGGAAAATGAGGAAGGACTGGCTGCTGGTTCTTAGGAGGAGCTCTAGTCTTCACCTTCAATTTGGATATCATCTTCTGACTTCTGGCGCACTGTTTGCCTTCCTTCTGGGACTCTTCATTCTTTCTAGCATAGACTCTTCCATCTTTGTTGTACACTGCTGAACCTTCCATTGTAGATTCTTCACTTTTCTATTACAGACTTGTGGGGGATGAGGTGTCACTTTGTAGGCCCAACCCCCTCTAACCTGCAATTTACAATAGCCGCCCTGGTATGCGAGAAGGAGGTAGAACGGGAATGCCTGTTCTCAGTGAGCCCTCACCCTCTGGAATCCATACTGTGAGCTGGCTTTGTTTTGCAGAAGTCTTGAGGAAGTGGCTGGCCACCCTTTGTGACACTAACAGCAGACAAATTAACAACATTCTTGAGCTAATGAATTTCTTCCTGGGCTAGAGAAGTTGTGAGAACTGGTTGTGATTATTTACTTCACTTAGATAGTTTTAGAATAAACATTGTAGTCTGTCACGTTGTAGCTTGCCACAAAGAATGCCTTTTCACTACTTAATTATCTGGGCTCTGTGAATTGATCGGGTTTACTATATATGAATCCTAAAATAAAGATTGTGCGTACAGTGCGGTACAGTGCAGTGCAGTGCAGTGTAACGCGGTGCAGACAGCAAAGGTGTCTCTCCTGTCTTTCTTTTCCAAGCGCTGTACCCCCCGTGTCCCGACAAGGCGTGCGTGTTTACCTTGCCCGGAGTTCAGAGTGCTCTAGACACTCACGACAAGTGGCGCCCGAATTCAGGGACTCCGAAGGTCGCTTAGGAAGGTAAGTATAATTTTATTACGGGGAAATGGGACAATCTGCTTCTTCTCCTTTCTTAAAAATTCTTAAACATTTATTATCTATATATGGCATATCGCTCAGGTCAGCTGACTTGGATATGTGTATTGATACAATTAAAGAATATAATCCTTGGTTTCCAGATGAAGGAACTTTGGATGTAGAAGTATGGAGGAAGGCAAGGGTTAGTATAGAAAGGGCTATGCAACAGGAGGAAAAGATTCCTTTACGTTTTTGGGCTATTTGGTCGGTTGTGTACTCTTTATTAAAAGCTATGGAAGATGAACATATTGTAGAAAATCTTCAACTAGAAATTAAGCCAGTTATTCAGGAATTGCCCCTCACAGAGGAGGAGCAGAATGTAGTTCAAAATGACGCTATCGCTTTAAGTAGTGAAAAGGCGTCCAAACTAAAAGTAAAATCCACTACAGCCGACTCAGCTTTAGCTGCCGCAGCAATATCAAATTATGACAATCGCCCAATTTTACAGGCTATACAGCATTTAACACAAGAGGTGAAACAACTCTCCGTTAAGCAAAACCCGCCTATAGTTCCCTCTGCACCTCCTCCATCTAACCCTAATTGGAGTAAAGCCAAGCTAGCTTTGGCTGATTTACCAAAATTAGGGGATTCTGATGAGGAAAAGCCTGCCTTTGCTTTCCCTGTAATCAGACCTCAGCCAATAGATGGAGAGGCAGTTCCCCCTAGATGGGAAGCATTTAATATGGATGATTTAGCAAAATTAAAAAAGGCTGTAACCCTTTATGGCCCTCAGGCTCATTACACTAGAGAATTAATAACATCGGTAGCAGATCACTATGGTAATCTTGCTCCTTATGATTGGAAAGCCTTGGCCAAAATTCTTTTAAAGGAGCCAGAATATTTACAGTGGCACATGTGGTTTATGGAAGGTTGTGCGGAAAAGGCAAGACAAAATGCTGACGATCGAGATCCGAATATTAGACTCCTTTCTTATCCCATGCTCTCTGGTACAGGTTTCTTTGATACTGTTGAGCATCAGGCAGGAGCTCCAAGAGAGATTCATGCTCAATTAAAAGATATTGCTTTAAAAGCTTGGGATAAAATACGGCCTAAAGGATCAGAATATGGATCTTGGGCTAAAGTTCTGCAAGGAGCCAATGAACCGTATGTTGAGTTCGTTGCAAGACTTCAAAATGTTATAGAAAAAACAGTAGTGGGACAAGACTTACAAGAGCATCTCTTAAAAATGTTAGCTTTTGAAAATGCTAATGATGAATGCAAAAGGGCTTTAATTCCAATAAAAGATACTGGAACGATTGACAATTTTATAAAACAATGTAAAGATTTAAATTCAGAATCTAGGAAAATGCAACTGTTTGCTGAGACCATGGCAACCACGTGGACTAATTGGCAATCTAAAAAGGAACAGTCTTTAAAATGTTTTAATTGTGGTCAGATAGGACATGTAAAGAGGGCCTGTCCAAAACTTGTAGGCAATGATCAAAAAAAGAGATCTAGAGCTCCTGGCTTATGTCCAAAATGCAAGAAGGGAAATCATTGGGCTCGTGAATGCAGGAGTAAACAAGTTAATTCAGCTGAACAAAAGGGAAACGGGAGAACGGGCCCTACCCCGGGCCCCGGACAAATCAATGGGGTAAATCTACCGTATTCTCCCTACAGCCAGCCACCCAACACAGTGCCGCAGTGGACATACCAGCCTTAAAAGATGTAGAATTAAGAGGAGGACAATCTCCCGTGAAAATTCCTACAGGAATTTTTGGTCCTCTGCCTGCGGGAACTTTTGGCTTGCTCACGGGTAGATCTAGTTTAAATCAAAAAGGCATTACTGTTCACTTAGGAATTATAGATGCAGACTATACTGGAGAAATTCAAATTCTGATGTCCTCACTTACAGATTATAAATTATTAAAGGGAGAACGTATAGCTCAACTCATTTTACTGCCTTATATCCCAATAGGATCCTCTGTTGTTCAGCGAACAGGAGGGTTCGGCAGCACTAACCCTATTAATGTAATGTGGACAGCTAAATTATCTCAACAACAACCTCTTATTAATATTTTTATTGAGCATAAGAAAATTCAGGCTCTTATAGATACAGGCTCGGATATTACTATTGTTAAACCTACTGATTGGCCTTCTCATATTACTTATACTATTATTCCATGTAATATAAAAGGAGTAAGTAAAACTCCAGTAAATACAATTGGACAAGCCACAATGCATATACATATAAAAAATGAAGAGGGTCAAGTTGCTGTTATTAAACCTTATATCTTAGAGGTACCAGTTTCTATTTTAGGAAGAGATGTATTAGAACAATGGGGAGCTTATATACATTTTTAATATTTTGCATGTTTCTACAGCCTAGGGAAATGAATCCTTTAAAGCTTAATTGGAAAAATGATGACCCAATTTGGATAGATCAGTGGCCTATGACTACTCAAAAGTTACAGGCAGCGCAGGAATTGATTGATCAACAGCTTTTTCTACATCACATAGAACCATCCACATCTCCTTGGAATTCTCCAATATTTGTGATAAAAAAGAAATCAGGCAAGTGGAGACTTTTAACGGACTTACGTGCTGTAAATTCATCCTTAATTCAAATGGGAGCCCTTCAGCCCGGTATTCCTTTACCCTCAGCGCTCCCTGCTGGTTGGTTTGTATATGTTATAGATTTACAAGATTGTTTTTTTTAACATCCCATTACATCCAGAAGATAGAAAACGGTTTGCTTTTTCAATTCCTCAAACAAATTATCAAAGACCTTATCAAAGATATCAATGGAGGACTTTACCCCAAGGAATGAAAAATTCCCCAACTATATGTCAAATTTATGTTGATGCAGCATTAAAACCAGTGCGTGCACGATGGCCTCAGGTTTATACGGCTCATTTCATGGATGATATTTTATTCTCATATAGTGATAGAAATGTTTTAGAAGATATTTTAAAAACTTTACCTCAATATTTTTCTCCGTTTGGACTTGTAATAGCACAGGATAAAATTCAAAAGGAAGAAGTTAGTCATTATTTGGGATATATTCTTACTAGACAAAAGGTGATTCCACAAAAAATGTCTATTAGGAGAGATAAGTTATCCACTTTAAATGATTTTCAAAAATTATTAGGGGATATTAATTGGCTTCGTCCCACACTAGGTATTCCTACCCATGCATTACAGCATTTGTTTGCTACTCTACAGGGCTCTTCAGATCCATCCAGCCCTCGTTCTTTAACAACAAAAGCCGAGCAAGAATTACAGTTTGTAGAACAACGAATTAAGGATGCATTTTTAATTAGGATTGATCCTAAATTGCCTCTAACTTTATATATTATTAATACTTTTCAATATCCCTCTGCAGTTTTAGGTCAAAATGCTATGCCAGTAAAATGGGTATTCACTAAAACTAAGCAATCTAAAAATGTTATGCCTTATATTGACATGGTTGCAGCTTTAATTATGAATGGTAGAGCTCGTTCTATAACTTTGATAGGAGAAGATATAAACAATATAGTTATCCCTTTAACTAAGGAACAATGGGAATATTTGTTGTCAATTACTGAAACCTTACAAATTGCTTTAGCAGATTTCATGGGAACTTTTTCATATCATTTTCCTAAAAGTAAATTATGGGATTTTTTTAGACGTCAACAATTTGTGGTTAATACCTTATTAGCTGTACAGCCAATTCCACAAGCTTTGACTATATTTACAGATGGATCTAAAAATAAAGCTGCATATTGGACTCAAAAATCTTACTGGGTACGTCAGACAAATTTTAACTCTGTACAACAAAATGAACTTTTTGCTATATTACAAGTGTTTTTAGATTTTCATAACCAACCTATTAATATTATAGCCGATTCGGCCTATTCTGTTGGAGTAGTGACAAATATCTATTCAGCTGCGTTATATTCTAATAAGCCTGCTTTATTGTCTTTATTTCAAAATTTACAAATACATGTTCAAAAAAGAAATCATTCTTATTTTATTACTCATTTACGTTCTCATTCTCAGTTACCCGGACCATTAGTATCAGGTAACAATGCAGTGGATTCCTTAGTTATGTTCACCACACCCGTTGAAGAACATCAATTTAATCATGCAAATGCAGGACATTTGCATCTTAAATATAAGATACCTTTTACAAAAGCTAAACAGATTGTAAAAGCCTGCCCTATTTGTAGACCATTACATTTAAAAATTATTCCCGCAGGTGTCAACCCTCGAGGAACTCAACCTAATGAATTATGGCAAATGGATATTACACATGTACCTTCTTTTGGTCGGCTTTCTTATGTACATGTAGTTATTGATACCTATTCTTCATTTCTATGGGCTACTGCTCAACAGGGAGAATCCACTAAAAATGTTATTGTACATTTATTGGAGACTTTTGCAGTTATGGGAATTCCTTCTAAAATCAAAACAGATAATGGACCTGCTTATACTAGCAGAACATTTAAACAATTTTGTGATCTCCATAATATTATTCATATTACAGGGATTGAATATAACCCCCAGGGTCAAGCTATTGTTGAAAGAGCACATGGCACTCTTAAGTTGCAAATTAAAAAATTAAAAAGGAGGAGTCAGGAGGATATTCAGATACCAATACTGTTTAAATTGCAAAACAGTCCAAAAACATTACTGCATCAAGCATTGTTTATTTTAAATTTTCTCAATTTACCACAAGGTGAAATATTAACAAGAGCTGAAAAACATTTTGAACAGCAACAACAGCCTTTTGTGATTAATGAACCTATTTGGACTAAAACAGCTCCAGAGGCTGAATGGGAGAGGGGCACATTGCTCTATAGGGGGAAAGGTTTTGGTTATATCTCCACAGAAAATGGAATTCAGCAGTGGGTCCCTGGACGATGGATCAGGACCCGCGTCTCCAGATCCTGTTCACCAGCCCCGGAGACAACTCCCCAAGGAACCGGAACCGTGCCTTCAGAAGCGAGCGCGAAACCAGCTAGAAGCTGAGGATGCTGAGTTTGTTCCTATCGCAGCCATGGCCAGATTAAAGCTAAGAAAATCCCGCCGCTCACAGCGACCAAATTTAAATCCCCTCCCTACATGGGGACAATTAAAGAAATTGACCATAGAAGGGCAACGGCTTGTCCTTCAAGCAGGAAAGCCTTTAAACCCTGAAAACTTGTTTTTAGCTTTATGTGCCTTGCTCACTGTTGCATCGGGGACTGAGTCTTCCAGATCCAAAGAAAATAACTGACGGAGCTCCTATATTTCAACAAAAGACGGCTCTCTTGTGGTGGGGAGATGGTGGAATCGCTAACCCTGCTGTTGCAGCCGAAGAATACCCTCATCACCTTCAAAATCATATTTGGAAGATCCCAGCCGCTATGCAACCTGTAACCTTGTACAATGTTTCATATTCAGGGACTAGTCGATCTGTATCTACTACTTATAATTTTACTAGGTTTAAAATGTATAATATTACTGTTTGTGCACCTCTACCTTATGTCTTTTTAGTGGGAACTTTTAATTTTACACATTTTTCTTGTACTTGTTTAAATTGTCAATTGTTTACATGCTTAAATAGCACACTAAATTTCACTAAGCCTTATACAGTTATGCTGTTACAACAAAAAACTCATATTTGGTTGCCTGTAAATTTAACTCGACCTTGGTCTCAAGACCCGGTAATTTCTGTTACTACTGAATTTTTTAAACATCTGTTAAAACGTACAAAAAGATTTATTGGAATAGTGGTTGCTGTACTGTTAAGTCTGATAACTGTAGCCTCTCTAGCAGCAGTCTCAGGAGTAGCTTTACATACCTCTTTGCAAGAAAAACATGTTGTCGAATTATGGCATGAGAATTCTCATGAACTTTGGTTAACTCAGTGGCAAATAAACGCCAAACTACAACAACAAATAGACCTCCTTAAACAAACAGTTGAATGGATGGGTAGAAAAATATTGGCTCTTCAGCATCAAGTGTTTTTAAAATGTGATTGGAATTCAACTACTTTCTGTATAACCCAACGACCTTATAATCAGACAGAACTTGAATGGGAAATGATTAGAATGTATTTAAATGGAAACACCTCTGCCCAGGAGGAAATAGAATCTTTGCATAATCAAATTGACAAGGATTTTGCAAAGCAAAATGATGATGAATCTCTAGCACAATTCGCGCAATTGCTTGCTCAATCTTTGAAAGGATTAGATTCCAAAGGAATCTGGCAGAGCATTACCCACACTTTTAGTGGCATGGGACTTAGTTTAATTATAGTTCTCATTGCCATAGTTCTTGTGTATTTTTACTGCATAAGACGAAATGCTATTAATAACCTGATCTTATGGAAATTGTTGTTAAAAAATAAAAAGGAAGGAAGTGTGGGGGATGAGGTGTCACTTTGTAGGCCCAACCCCCTCTAACCTGCAATTTACAATAGCCGCCCTGGTATGCGAGAAGGAGGTAGAACGGGAATGCCTGTTCTCAGTGAGCCCTCACCCTCTGGAATCCATACTGTGAGCTGGCTTTGTTTTGCAGAAGTCTTGAGGAAGTGGCTGGCCACCCTTTGTGACACTAACAGCAGACAAATTAACAACATTCTTGAGCTAATGAATTTCTTCCTGGGCTAGAGAAGTTGTGAGAACTGGTTGTGATTATTTACTTCACTTAGATAGTTTTAGAATAAACATTGTAGTCTGTCACGTTGTAGCTTGCCACAAAGAATGCCTTTTCACTACTTAATTATCTGGGCTCTGTGAATTGATCGGGTTTACTATATATGAATCCTAAAATAAAGATTGTGCGTACAGTGCGGTACAGTGCAGTGCAGTGCAGTGTAACGCGGTGCAGACAGCAAAGGTGTCTCTCCTGTCTTTCTTTTCCAAGCGCTGTACCCCCCGTGTCCCGACAAGGCGTGCGTGTTTACCTTGCCCGGAGTTCAGAGTGCTCTAGACACTCACGACACAGACTCATTGGTTTTCTGATATGAATTTACACGGAACACTGCAGTGAGTTCCAGACTTTGAGTTGAACACTAGTATCACCCTCACAGAGAAATCCTTTATCAATGCTCTAGGCATTCTTTAATCCAGACAATTGATAACCAAAGTTAGTTATCATTAACTCTAGCTTCCATTGCTGTTATTGATTTTAACTTTTAGGGTCAGGCTTTTTTACTATTATTATCAAAGTTTATTGTTGTGTCAGTTCCTATTAAGGAATACGATTATGTCTCAGTATGCTATAGTATTCTATTATTAGTCATTCTGAATAACAGGTTTACTGGCGCTCTGCTTGCAATACATGATACTGAGTCTTGAAGGATGAGCCCAGAAGACCAGAGAGCAGAGCCATCACTCTAGGAAAAGTTCAGTGCTGTAAAACCTGTACGGTGTCATCCCTCAGCTGATGGTGAGATTCTAGAGATTTCGTGGACTAAAACAAGAGTCAAACATTTTTCTACTCTTGGCAGCATAATTGTTTCTCAAGCAGGACACCAAAATTAAGTCTTTTAGCACTTTTAAAATCCCAACTTGAATATGACACAAAGAAGAAAAGGCCAAAAGCTAAGACAGTAAAATGGAAAGACTAACTGCTCATTTTGGGTGGTCAACAATATTGTTACAGGAAAAGGCAAATGGAGAAATAATTCAAACACTGCAAGTTATTTGATACAAAAAGAAAGAAATCTGCCTCCCTCTTAGGTGTGTGGGGTATGGATGGTGGGTTTACAAAGATCAGAAAGGTGACTCTGTAACAGAAAAATAAGTATCTGAGTAGAGATAGGAGTTTAAGATGTCAGGAACAGTTAATAATACACACATTAGGTGAGTCTACGGGAAGGAAAAGTGATTATGGTAGCCTCTCACATTCACACTAATATTTGAAGACTCATATTTTTTTAAAAAATCAAGTTAAAAAGATTCAGTTTTGGAATGAATATTAGTGTGCTGGATTTACATTATTAATAATTTAAATAATTTTTCATTAAAAATAATTTTATAGCTTATTTTACATAGAAGACTCATGTCTCTGATATAATTCTAGCTAAATTTAATAGCAACATTGAAATAATAAAATGGAAATAACAAGTGATAAATCAAATATATATACAACTCAATGTACTTTTCTTTGGACATTTCTTGATACTTTCTGTTATTATTACATAAATTAAACAGGGAGAACATGCTTATGTAAAAAATATATAATATATACTTAAAAAAAAATTTTGGCACCCGGAATTGAACTCACAACCTCATGCTTGCCAGGTAGGCACTTATGTCACTGAGCTAAACCCCTGGCTCAATACTTTAAATATGTTGGGCTGGGGACTTAGCTCAACAGCACAAGCACCTGCCTGGCATGCACAAGGTCATGAGTTTGGTCACCAGTACAACAACAACCACAAAAAAGACCAATACATAACAAATTTCAAACATGTATTAAATGTTCAATATTCATTTTACAAATTCTATCAATGAAAAACATTTATATACATATATATATATAGGGTATAAAAGTGAAAGCTGATATTTTTGTTTCTATTTCATTTTCAAGAGTGCTACAAATGATAGTAGAAAAAAATTGAAGTAACATATAGAAAAAAATTCTTATTGCAAAAATGCTTCGAAGTTATAACCAAAAGGCTCTTGACCTCATGAGCACCTCTATCTTTCAGGAGAACAAAAATATCTCAAGTGGTTCAGTGCTTCTTTTTCTACCCATGGTTTCATTAATTTAGATATACAGTAAATGTTCTTTTGCAGTGGACTTGTTTGGTCAAGTCAAAAGAGACTGTAATAGCAGGGAATCACACGGAAAAGTGAGGTAAATTGGTTTCGGTATTGGTTTGCAGTAGAGATGAAATGAGTTGAAGCAGACATTTCTTTGTTATTTTTCCAAAAATACAAAAAAATTAAACTGAAGAATTTAATCCTCAAAGCATCTACTTTATTTCTACTCTTTATTAATTTTGTTCATTGTTAATTTTCAAATGCAGTTCAGGGAATTTTAGAAACTAATGCTGTATTTTTAAGAGTTTTTACTTAAATAGATAGATATAGGTATATGTATATATATATGAATACATGTAACTTCCCAGAAAAACGGATACAATTTCACAATACATTAGTTAATAAATGTATTTTTCTATGCAAAACAAAACAAATGAAACAAACAACAAAAACTTAGATCACCAAACGTGATTACTATGGTAAGTTTCAGTAAAATAAATAAATAACCAAAGTAAACCTTTAAATGTGACTTTTATCTTTAATTTGCTATGTAACAGAGAGGATGTTTTATTACATTCTGCTTTCACTATAATTCTGATTGCATTCTCTTTGGTTTATGTTGTATAGCACTAATAATAGGAAAAGTTATAAAATAAATCTAAGCTCCTAGTGTTTTGCCAATGCATATTATGGTAATTAAAGTTAAGAGCTATGCAACTCTCAAATTAATCAACTAAAAAGTATGCAGGGTTTTGTTTTTCAGAATCAATGAAAAAAACAGCAATACATCACAAAACAGTTTCATAGTGATTTTTTTCCAAAAGAAATATTTTGTTGGCAGTTTTGACACTGGTTTAAAATTTTAATGCTATTTAATTAAGTTTTTCCTGGTTTCTCAGTAGTGCTAAATGAGAGTTTTAGTACATGAAATTCAGTTTTATGGTCTGTTTTTATCCTTAAGGTTTAATGTACAATGGTTTTTATAAAGGGCTAGCTATATGAAGAGCACAAAGAGATTAATAACTATCACATCAATAAAATTCTATTTTGGGCTCAGTTTTACAGGATAAATCAAGTTTTAGCCACATAATTAAACTATTCCATGTTTTACTTCAATATTTGAAAAATTTTAACTACACAATTATAGTGAATTTTAACATAAAAGGTAAGTTGCTCCTGTCAAGTTATGTTAAGTCACATACAAATGTCACAGGGGAATAAACAATTTTAATAGTTATAGAGAAAATCTGCTGTGTTGAAATTGGGTTAATTGGTAATAGTCTTCCTATACAATGCCACCTTCACTCCAAAGCAATGAATCAGAGAGAATCTAAAAAGCATGAATTGAATAAGAATATACTCACCACTCATTTTAACTCTATTGGATTTGGAGAATTGATTTATGGCAATTGTGAGCAATTGCCCAATTTAAGGGAAATTATTTTCAGATAGTGCTCACTATAATTTTAAAGTTGCTATCTTTCCTAGAGGTTACTATATCATTGATAACTGAGATTTTTCTCTGAGCTGTTCAATTGCAAATAAACAATTTGAGCTTCACTTTATTTATAATTCAATGATGTCAGGAACAATGAAAGAGATATTCATCTACTTGGCAGATTTCATAGAAACATGCATTTATGAAATACTGATTTTATATCTACACTGCATAATGGTGATATGTACTCAAGAGTAACCTGTTTGAAAGACTGTTGTATTATAATCTCAGTTCTCTGGAGAGTTATTTAATCAAAATAGCTCTGCTGAAGTGCACTACAAGAGAAGACTTTAAAAAATGTCAGAGGATCAAGGAGAGACAAAGGACTAGGAATTCTAATACTAAAAGTAATTTAGTGGCTGGATGTATGGTAATTTTTTTTCTTAAGCTTGAGGTGAAAAAAAAATCTCAGACAAGTCAGGAATATAAGAGTTACAAATGAGATCTCAGTGAATGGCAAAATAAATTCTCATACCCATGAACAACTAAACACCTAAGTTAAAGTTGTTAAATCAAAATGGAAATGTAGGTCACACTATGCTCCTTAATAATCAGTGTTAGTGAAACACTAATTGGTACCCCTATGATTACCAGCAACCACGCTGAATTTTATTCTTTTGTATCTTAACTATTCGTTGTACACCTAACGTAAGTTTTCCTGGAACCCTATGAACTATATTCTGGTAGTGTTCATAACTTACAACAACAAGTTAAACACACAATGTCCTTGCATAACAAATTTGCTATCAAGATATACATTCTTATCTTACTGTGGAAATTTATGGTAATTGATCTATTAATGAGTAGTTTGTGTTTAATCAACAAGCCTAATTATCTTAAACTTTGATTATTGAAGCTTAAACAATATAGGAGGCCCAGAATGCTATGCAGTTTTATTTCTATTTATTTTTGCATACAAATTTAGCATCATTTTTCTCTACCACTCAAAAATACTGTCAAAAATTCCTTCCAAACCATCATTATAGGGTAGCATTTTTCTTTTTCATTATTAAAATATAGTTTCATTTGCTTTATATATATATATTAATATTAATATTAATAATATTAATATCTAATTCTTATTTTTGTTCAAAATATGGTAGTTTAAAGTTCATAGCTATGGGGAAAAATTGTAATTTATGTCAAAGTAATCAGGAGCAAAAGTGTTTGACTTTCTTTGTTTTCAGCATAATCTGTACTTACATAGCAGTACATTGTTACTGTTACTTCAGTAAACAGTGGTGGCAAATGAGTTTTACAGAGAATGAAAGTATGAATAAGAATTTGACCAAGATGTCTGGCAGAGCAGAGTCACTTTCTTTGTGTTGAAGAATGGTCATTTGCATGGCACAGTCCGTTTAGTGTCACTAGGAGCCAGGTGTATAGTTCGATGGCACAGTGGCTTGCCTGGCAGGCGCAATGATGTGAGGTCCATTCGGAGTACAAAACAAACAAACAAAATTTAGTGTTGTTCCAATAGCACGTTAGATCTATTTTCATATTCTATTGTTTTAAGAAAAATGTAAAACTTAAAGTGACTTTGAGTGGCAATGATGATATTATATTTTTTGAGCATTT